GAATGGCAGTTAATAGGTTTGAAGTGTTGAAGAACTGTTTTCTTCAATGCAGTGTAGGAAATATCGATTGGAGATTCAGGATATACTAACTTCTTGATCAACGTATACGCCTCCTTGCCAACGAAATGTAGGAAATGTGCCGTGAGTTTCTTATCATCCATATCGGATTTTGTGAGACACCATATGTCGAATCGTTCCAAATAATCCTCCACGTCACGCGCAGTTGAATTAACATTTAATGGTTCCATGTCGGCAGGCATGATGAATTGTTCCAATCGCGACGCCAAAATGTGAGAATTGAGTTCCGTACGTACATCAGTATAACCAGACGCATTAGAAATCCAGAATTTAACGCCGCGTAACAAGTAGCACGTATGTATTCGAATTTAGATTGATTGGTGATGGTGCATTTACTAAAAGGGATAAACGATTTATATCGGGTCTATAACCGCTGCCTTTCACAATGTAGCCAAGGGATGAAAATGATGGCACACCAAAAGTGCATTAATCAGGATGAATAGCTACATTGGACTCAGAAAATCGCTGTGAACTGCCATTTTCATGGAACAGGTCGCCACGTATGTCCCATCCTTAATCGGAAGGACCAGGAGACTGTGATAGTTAGACGTCTAACCATTGATTAACTTGTATGAGGGATTGTGTGGTTGTATTACGCATCAATGTAACGGGATGGTCCAGACACTTTGCAATGGATATCTTGAGGCCGAACAAATGCAATTAGTATGTATCTTGACCACTGCTCATCTGTGCTTTTCTTTTCGTAGTGTCTCATTTGACAGGGCATTTACCAACTTTTAATGTTCGAAGAATTATCAAACCTTTATCCAGCATCTGTGCTTTTCTTTTCGTAGTGTCTCATTTGACAGGGCATTTACCGACTTTTAATGTTCGAAGAATTATCAAACCTTTATCCAGATACTTATCATGCCGGAAAAATCTTTTTCCACAGCAACACTGCAAGCCTCATAAAATGTTAATTTCATGCATGGTAATGTAGTCTTTCTTCGATTTCCATTGAGTACCGACATATAGCAGGAAATGTAATTGCTTAAATATAATAAAGTTCTATGCCTTGCAATCTGTGCATTTCTAGTCCTTGATTTCATCATATGAAGCATAGCGAGACTATGTGAGAACTGTGTAAATTTTCAACAACCATTCATTAACGCACCCAGTTCGAACCGACAATAACCGCGAACTTAGTGAAATATCCACTCACTGAGCGTGCATCAATGGGAGAGAGTTGTTCATAGCGGGAAAAGAGAAGTCAACACAAACCAAGTACTCAGTTATCCAGCATGGACTGTACTCCCCATGATGGATTGTGGTCTACCCATCATCAGAGTTTGGTCCTGGATTCGGGATAGTTAGCATACCGTTCTCAAACTGTCTTTACATGTACCGCTAGCCGACACTACCCATGAATTAACACACTTAAGCAGAGGATCTAGTACAACTCATCTAGAGCAAACACGTTAACTCGGCTTGCATGCGCAAAACATCAGTGTTATCGGTCAAACATGTGTCCGTTGTACACCACAAGCAGGACGGAACGGTAGAATGAAACCGTTTGACCTATCCTCGAACCCTCGTTCATACAAGTCTGTCTGCGACTGGTGAATGGTAACTGAACCTGCTGTCTGGCACCTTGTGTGACTTGTTAACGTACAGTGATTATCATTCCCAAAACTGCCCTCAGATTTACAGTGCAGGCAGTGTACATAGTGAAAACATGAGGCAAAACACTGTTTCAAAATAAATTATATCTTAAATTCGTTTCAGTGTAACAACTAAGTAATTTTTACGGGCTCTTTTTCTACAAAAAGATAAAAATGAGGAGTGAATTCAGGGGATCTATTTGTGCCGTTTGCATGTATCCTTTCCAAAAGGGAAGAAGCATGTACCTAATCTAAACATAAAACAGGAAAAGGATGTCAAAGTTATCTGGTTTCGGCTTGCTAATGCACTCATATAGATATGTTTGTCTGATGGGGAGCGGATTCTTTTGGTTTAGACGGGGACAAGTTTTTAAGTGAAGCTTTCGCTACTGTGTGTTACAGATTGTTTAGACTACTGTGTTAAGTCGGATGATATATTGAATACACTGTCTTTCTGTTTAAAAACGGTAGGTTTGTCCTAATGAGAGCTATTTCAAAACAATAGCCTGGTTGCATTTAAGGCTTGAAACCTAGTGTTGACTGGGAGTGAACGAAGTTGACTCACGTTTCAAGCGACTGCACTTTGAAATTTATATGATACACGCGTTGGAAATAGAAGTAAAAACGGAAGGTGTAACTTGTCGGAAACAGCACCCAGCACAGTGAATTATCTTTTTATTTACACCGCTATATATCGTTGTCTTGCTCACCACTCGAATGCCAGATGTGAAGCTCCCTGACTCAAAGTCTTTAGGGCTACAAGATTCGCACGATGTTTTAATGTGCACTTATCGAACGGAAGCTATTCGTGTCCGCTTCCACATGCAGAATTGTCTAATGTCATCATTCGTTTCATCAGAATTTATCAACTGATATTTCTCAGTTAGCACTAATGTCTCACCCCACTTAAGTAAAACAATAGAACCAAAGGAGGCGTAGCTGACTGGTCATAGGTGAGGTCACATTTCGTCTGCTAGCTGGACTGAATGGAGAATTGCACAGCTAAGTGTCACTAAAATAGAATCCATAGACTTGGAGTTACAGTCAATTTGTCATTCCTTTCGACCACACTATCGCGGAGGTGAAAGGAGCAAACATCATCTACACTATGCTGTTCAGAGTGCATGGCATGATAATCAAAGGATCCATGTTTATGCAACCAACCAATAATTCCCTGAATTTTTAAACAGGGAGAGACTTTGCGATGATAGTATGTTCGGTGCACGCAGGGTATGGTAAAGATTCCATAGATAGGCAAAATATATTTGCTAGAACAAAAGGGGAATTTTCCCAGAAATTGTGGGGACTTACTCATCTGCTCAACAACCGATATAGCTCATCAGTCTTTTTACTCATTGTCGAAAACAAATTTGCTGTTACTTCCCTCAGAACTCTTATCCTGAGAAGATTATTTCGCTACCCGAATTGTCCAACTGGATGATCAAAAGGTCTGGACGGATGCCGTTTTAAATTTTACGATTTCACCGCTTAAGAAACCTAGACGAACAACTAAGCTCGTAGGAGTCGACCGAGTTCACAAAGTGCAGAATTATTTTGAAGGTGCATTTGTTCGGTCTCAGCTAACGTCCGAATCATGTTGAATCGAAACTTCATCGGTTTCTCTTGTTGTGGAGAAGAAATGGTACTGAAGATGCGTTTCATGCTGACTGATACTGAGGGTACGAAACAAGGATGCTCTTTACGTTCGCTGTGTGTTTTCGCAGAAGAGTTTCGCCCGTTTATTCAAACAACGAAGCATTTTCGGTCCATCGGCTGGTGCTGAGTATGCATCGTTTTCCGGGAGTCCGCATACACAGGATTTACTTTCCAGAGGAGACCCGAGTGCAAGTAGCTTGAAAGCGAAATATCGGGCAAAGCCAATTGAGAAGTATTTTTTATATATAGCAGTTAACCGTGTGCAAAATTGCGCAGAGACTGCTGTATTGGATAGCATATTTGAAATACGTTTGCCATAATGACTAGTTGCAAACAAAAAATTTTCCGAACAGATGTCTGAGGAAATACGGCCAGAAGGCTGCAACACAATGGAACCACTTCCCTAGAATGAAGTCCACAAGTTAGGAAAACTTCATTACGCCACAATCCATTATGATCGATTTAAGCAGATTTCAGTGGACGACACCCGAAGACACGCCTGCAGTGTACTTATGGTTCTTGGGAAGTTAGAAATCTCCTGATTCATATGATACCGATTTACAAGTTACAGAAACGGATCCATTTCCAGACAGAAAACCATCGCCCTACGTGGTTTGTCTCACCCAAACTTATCCTAGATTTGGTTTGCACAGTCTCACGGTTATCAGTACTTAAAAAAAACCACAATAAGTGTTTTGTCTATTTTGGGACTCATTACTTGTTGTCCGGCAGCCCGAAATCATCAGCATCACCATCATCACCATCATCATCAACAGCATGACATCTGTGGCCAAAACCGATGCTTCACTGCCGTACAACCATGACTTATTTGAAAGCCTTATTGTAAAAATAGAGTGTAGGTGGACGAGGAGGGGACTTAGTGCTAGCTCAACACAATCATTTCGAGGTGTCTTTACCTCCAGACGTTCACTCAGGCGAATGACTTATTGAAAGCCTTATTGTAAAAATAGAGTGTAGGTGGACGAGGAGGGGACTTAGTGCTAGCTCAACACAATCATTTCGAGGTGTCTTTACCTCCAGACGTTCACTCAGGCGATCTGGATAGAAACTGACAACAAGAAAGCAAACGACATCGGTTGACAGCCATATCTTGTAGTGTCTCCAACCGGACACAGTGAGGATCACGCCGTCCCCATCCTGGAAGGCGGTAGCACCGGCAGTACCCAAACGTTTCGTGACCTTGTTCATACTCCTCTGCCAATTCAGGGGTTGGCCACCTCTCTGTTTACGCCACTCCGAATTGGGCATGGAAAACAGCACTCTCTTCGGCAAACGATGGTTCGGCGTACGCAACAGATGTCCCAACCAACGCAGCTTCTGGTGCTGGACACATTCTTCAATGGAAGTACTCGTTGTACAACCGAAAATGCGCTTTCTAACTGCCTCGTTTCGTGTTCGCCGACACCAACCCACACAAGCTATGGTTCTGAGAAAACGATTCACCAACTGAGGATGAGCAATTCTTGACTTATCCGCTAGCCTACGAGAGCAGCACGAACTGATGGAACACAAGAGACTGTTTTTTTGCATTCGGCCTACTAACTTTGTCACCTTCGTGTGCTTTCTTTCATGCCTCATAAAAGTGCCCTAGTCGATCAAAATTAGTCTGTGAGATACAAAAATCTCTCTAATACAACCTCAAAGATGGTCCAGAACTCTGGTAAGTAAGATTTCTGAGGTTGTCTCAGTGTCCCTCAGTCTTATATATTGAGCTTCATAAGAAACATGTTCGTTGATATGGAAAAAACCCTCTGGTCTAGTAGGCGGAAACACGGAAATGAATTACAAGGTCTTTACAATGGGAATTTGAATGGATTACTAGGAGAAGACTACTGAAAGATGCTCAATTCCATTCGGAGGAATTCCATCTTCTTGGTTGTTCGGATCAAATAGAGCAAGTGGATTCTAGTCATGTAGGTGATGGGTAGTTGATACAATAAAATTAGACGCGCTAACTATTTAGTCGACTGTCCGCCAATTGTGGAATCATCAATTCTGTTTTTAACCTATAGAAATAGCAGCAAAGCCACTACAGAAGAATATTTTACCCAGGCAGCGTGTCTATTCCCAATTTGGCGTCCTCGATCGTGGTCATGGTCACATCTTCAACAGTGACATTTTATGAGTAACAAACTGGTTTAACGAACTCCAATATATAGTCTGAATTTACATCATGCGCACTGCTAGATTTTGACTACAGAATGAGAAAATGCTATCATAAAAAACACCAAAGTGTCAGAGATATTGCTGAAACTTGGACACTGTATTGAAATTTGTTGTGCCTCATTATTTTCCGGTTCTTTGGTAACCAAAGAAATTGTGGCATTCACCCAGTTCAAATCAAAATTTCTGGCGGCTACCAACTCGAAGCAACTCACCAAACCGACCAGAAAATCGTTTAATAGCAGTAAAGTGGATTACTTCAAGTGACACAGTCAGTGTCTGTACCAGGTTCACGCTAATACCTACCCGCGATCATAAATTAACATGGTTCCTGGTCAATAATTTTTGAATTTGCAATGTATGCTAGCCTGATAAGCACTTTCGGAATACAATTTTTATTTGCGACTTTCTCTCTCATGACAAAATCAAAGAGTATTTCTTAACCAATGGCAATGTGAACAGACACCTGCCTTGTGATGCAAATACGATAAAACAGGATGTCGAGGTAAGGGAACGGAGAAAATGGACAGAACCGTGATGATCCAAGTTCTGATCATGCTACTAGCAGGTATGTGCGTGTTTCTATTATTCTGATCTATTACAATTAAGGTTCCAAGAGTTTTGGGTGCAAACCTTCAAAACGCCTATTGGATTACACAGACTACGTCAGATCGATGTATCCAACATGTGCTGGTGAGTGGCCAGTGTGAATTGGAGCATTTGGATTCTAGCCGTAAGGCAATGTAATTTTGGTTTCCTCGTACGAAATCCATGAAAATCGGTGCCTTCCGTGTGATCAGTCATGTGATAAAAAATCGTTTTTAGCGTGGTTTGTCTCCTGATAGAGTTAATTAAAACGGCATTTGTAGGTAATACATTCTGAGAGTCAATAAATCTCCAGATTAGTATATGAAGAAGACAAGTGAAATTCCAGCTTGTAGTGTACTGTTTGTCAAAACGCTAGTCGAAAACTTCAACGTTTAAGTTCTAGTGAGCTCTATTACATGAGGTTTTGATAGATGTCTAGGGATTGAGTAAACCGGCTGAGAGTTACTCATGGAGATTGAGGGCGCAAATTCACTTGCACATCGCGTACAATGACCTCACGTTACGGGGACACCCAAAATGGAGCCCGAATCAAAGAAATGACCCAGTACATATTGCAATAAACGCCTTGTCTCCTAGGTTAGGTGAGTGCAAGGAAAAGACAGTGCGGTCACCGTGGGGTCACCTTGGTTCAAGTGTATATCTTGTGCGTTCGCCACATCCTAATCAGAAACTACATATACAGAGCGAATAAAGGCAAAAATCGGTGGTTCGTATGCCGTGCTAAGAGTCCCCAGGACGGAAGCTTCCCAAGTGCAACCGTTGTGTCTGGAAATCATTGCGCTCATATGGTTGACTTGAAGAAGTGCAAGATACTCCTCAATACGGTGAATCGTGTGTGTACACCGTGTGGAATATTTCGTAGCTTATGTATGCTGTGAACAGCTTATTTCGTTTGAAACTAGGTCTATTTCATACAGCAGGAATGCGGCATTAGCACTGCGTGTCCTAACCAACACTAGGCCGATGCAGATTCAAAGATGCGTGGAAAAGGTATGCCATAACCTTTCTTAGAGAAAGATACCCATTTTCAAAGCAATTTGGTTTTCACGAGAGGCAACTGAGTCTCTCGTTTATGGTATTCTACAAATGAATGTGCTGCACACAGACCGCCTCATGTTTCAGTTGGCACGATATTCGAGATATCGCAGGGTTGCTGGAAACTCTTCGGAAGGAGCGTCTCGAAGGTTAAAGTCGTTGTCTCAAGAGTCACTAAAACATAAACGAGTGCCGTGATACCGGCTTTAACTTGTCTGATCGACCTGCGCCGTTTCACCTATCGAAGATATGAGTGCTTCACATCAGAAAAAACGGCTAATCTCTTGCTGACTTATCTCCAACTTCTTTGTGCCACACACGCGAAGTAGAAATTTAACACTACGTCATGAGCAAAAAATGTTTCACGCTACCTGGCGCGAATCATTTCCAGAGAATAATAACCAGAGGACTCGATGGGATATCCCACGTTTCGAAACGCAACTCAGAGCAGGTCACATAACTCGAACCTGTGCCGAATGGTATCTTAGCAACATTCAGGAGTCTTATTTTCGATTCTCTTTTGACATGAACGCCGTCCTTGATTCTCAAAGCCTTTGCAAACAAATTCCACTCATTTAGATTCGACTGATTTTGTTTCACAAGTAGAAGTCTGTCATCCAATCAAAATAAAGCTTTGACGTTTTCGAAACGTAAATATTTTGGTTTGCGAAAAGATTAATATTTTCCACTCTGTTGAACAAAACACCGAGGTGGAAAATGTTCAACTCCTGTGTTTGACGTATTGCCCTCTAAACTCTTCAGGCACTTGCGATCTCAACAAACCTGTCTACGACTGGGATGGAAAGTGTAAAGGTATGTATCTTCGACTAGGATTTGTATTCAACCAACAATCCGCACGTTCAGAAAACCAGTCGCCCGACTGGAAATTTGTGTACGTGTGTCCAAATTCACTCAGATTCAAACAGACGGAAGGTTTATGAATTTCATGACCACTAACAGAGTAAGCCACCTGATTTTTGTGCGGCCCTCTCGACAATTGTTGAGTGTGCTGGCTCCCTAGGCCAGAAGCCACTTATGGAGCACGCCAGCTCTTCCCTATGACAGCTTCAGTGGACAAGAGTGTAGTATAGTCAACGATTTCCTAGTTGCGAGGATTTACCGACCCATTTTGTCCCACCATTCTCTGTTTTTCTCCCTTTGAACGACTCAAGCTTGTAATTACCGACTCTCTTATGAAACTGTCCGGTTAGGTTATCAAAAATAGTTGGAAACTATCCTGTGTGTTTCTAACCACTTTTTGATGTGAACAACAATTTTCGGTGTTAAGCGATTGAGTGATTTGTGTTTACAACTGGAATCAATTGTAATCTTTCAGAATGAGTCACTATTAGGCATAGATGAAACACAGACCTGCGCTTGCTAAGGAAAAACCGCGTTACGGGTCTCGGCCATAATATGTTGCCTAATCATCTAGACAAAAATTTACTACTGTACGCGTGACCCAGGACCTGTGGGCATTTAACAAAAAGACTTACGGGGAACATTTTAGAAAACAGGATAATTTGAACGCGCTGTGTCCAGTCCGAATCCCAAACAGGGCCTTGGCGGTTTTTTGGCTATTATCGTGTGAAATTGGACAAGATATGAGAGAATTACGCTCGTTTCCGGTTCTTTGTTTGCATGAGGTGTAATCACTTATTGCTCGCACAACAAATAGGTAACTGTTGACTGGTAGAATGCCAAATCTCATCCGGTACACGGTGATTAACACGGGGGTGCATGATGCTCGTTCTTGACTGCATTGCAAACGAACTCGAAAATTGCCAGGCAAAACTGCATTCCCTAAAATTGTTTCTTTTGCAAGGTTTTGCAAGGACTGCGCCATCGGGCATATAAAAATTTGACCATTGTTCCTTAAGTTATAGACACATGTTCGGCGAATACGACCGTTTGTTTTCCATCTTGGACTTGTTCTCTCTAAAAATGTCAGCAACAGAAACTGAATGGCTTTCGGTGCATGTGGTTCGATTGATGTACTCACTTTTTCGTGTGCGAAAGTGATCTTTGCCAGACGATCCAGTTGCTTCCGAACTATCAATTCCATAATGTACCGTCGTGTCTTTAAACCATGCCGAACGAGTAGTTCTTGAACTATCTAACGCATTGCGAACAGGAACCGCATACGTCCTTCATTAGAACAACAAGAACAACAGGGACTTTTATGGATTTTTAATTCTCAGTTTAATGATGGGAACTTTGTTATAATTTGCATTTTTTCAACATGGCAATGCGCAAATAGTCTGGGCTTAGTCACCTGTCAGTTGAGCGTGTCTCACACAGCCGATGATGCGTTTTGGATACTTCAGCAGTACAAATGGGCATCATACTACTGCCTCAGCACTGGTTCATAGTAGAAAAATTGGTTCTCAAAAAGAGTGCGGCGAGAATAGTTTAGCACGATCAGGATGGTGGCGACAACTGAGTATATCTCTTCATTTCAAACGTTTCTTTGTGACAAACGAAAATTGGCGCCAGAACCTCAACCGAGGTCAACTTAGATAGATTTGCTCAGTTTCCCAATTCTTTTCAGAAAAATGCCTTGTTCAGGCAATGAGACTATGTGCAGGTAAGTTTTCGTTCCTAAACAGTTGACTGACTTCTTGTTAGGTCATTGTTTGGACAAGTGTTGGGGTAAGACTTCGTGTTAGCTTATTCGTGTGAAACATTTCAATGTGTTTTGTGCCTGTTAACACAAGTGACTAATCCAAAAGTACGTGGAGATTATGTTGACCAGACAACCATGGTAACAAATGATCAAACGTGATTGCAACCAGCGATGAGATGTGTAAAAAATTGTTAACGTTGGTTTTTCACTAAACCATGAACAACTATTTCTTTCCTATGCGATCAAACGTTGTCGCGCTAAACTTTTGATCCAGATCTTTGTGCCAAGTTGGTATTGCAATCTGTGAGTCACTTCAATCCTTTTCTGAGACCGCCATCCAGTTGATCCTCGAAATTTTCATTCCAACTAATTTGATCCTCTTATCCATTTTTCCAGTATCATCAGGCGGGGGAAGAGAATTGTGTGACCACTACATATTTTGCCCCTTAAGGCAAATTCGCATATGCTTATTACTGCTGGTAACACAATAAATACAACTTCATGTGTGGCTATGTACAAGTGTAATTAAAATGCTACGGAATTCCGTTTTTTTCCACCTGTATATTCGGTTACTGCTGAAAGTGAACACATCATTATCCAGGCTGTAGTGAGGAAACAATCAACAGTGGTACAGAGGAAGCGCGAGTGAATCTAAAGGCATGTGAGGAGAATCTACTTTTTTATGTTTGCTTACACTGTACATCTAATTCAGTGCATAAAGCGAGAAAGCATACCCTTTGCATTGTATGCTAATGGGGACAAATTAACCGTCCTAACTAAGCATCCTTCTGGTGCTGATTTTCTGTCTTCTATGAGCTTGAGCTTTTGCGATAGTCTTCTCACTCCCACTGTTCTTCGTTCCCTTCATATTGGTAGTGGAATTGAGAAATAGGATATAACATTCAACGTGGAGACTTTGTCCTTCAAGTGAGAGAATTTGGTGGCTAAAGGCTCCAACAGCAGTGTGAACCTCACCAATACGTTGAGAGTGAACCGACACGTGCCACTCGAACATTGCAAACAGCCTACCACTTGGCCAAGAATGGCTGATGAGTAAACGTTGTTGGCTAACACTTAAACAAAATACAACACTACTTATTCTTCAGTCACAGCGTTCACATTACGCAGGCACGTCATCATCATCATTACCAGCTGTAAGAATCGCGTACTTATCGTACAGACTCGGGCAATGCTCTGAAGACATCGATGTTCAAACAGAGAAAGTATTTTGACGTTCTCAGCGCGCAACGACCAGCTTTCTAATTCGTATAGTGGTATGGAGGGTACCGCAGCACTGTAAACTCGACCCTTGACGGATAAGCTGATGCCAAGCCTACACCACAGGTGGCGCAGGTTCACAAAAGCTGTTCTGGTATTCCCAATCCGGATGAAACTACCATCCTTCGCCATACCGCCAGGACTGATTTAGCTGCCCAGGCAAACAAATTTGTCTACTGCCTCAATCGGCTCATCCTCAAGCATGAGGCCCACCCAGTCTTGAAGTACCACTTTACACTTTGCAGGCGTGAAGCGCATGCCAAAGCGTGAAGAGAAATTATTTAGACTATTCAATATTATTTGAATTACCCCGGGATCAGATCGAAGATGACCTATGTCGTTTGCCTACTCAATATCTGTGAGAGAACACCCATGGAGTACTTCGACCCCACAGGCATTAGGAAATGGTAATGAGTTTTCCATGATCGTATCAATGACGAAGTTGAAGAGGAAAGGTGAAAGAGGACAGCCCTGTCTGACACCACTAAATGAGGGGAACTCAGGCGAGAGCTTCCTATAGACCTTCACACGGCCGCGGGAGTTAGCGTAAAGCGCCTTAAGGAGAGTCAGGTTTTTATGGAGGATACTTCTGCTCCACAGACGCTGCTATAGTGCTTGACGTTTCACAAAGCCAAAGGCAGCTTTCAGGTGAAGACCAACCATTGTTGGTCTCTAGAAACAGTGTCGCCGTTCCAGAATTTATTGGAGGGTAAAGATGCGGTAGATGCATCTTCTGGCAAGATGGGATTTGGGGGGGGGGAATGATNTATATATATATATACAGTAAATCGGCTGATGTCACCACGCGACGGCCGATGTGGCATGATTTTATTTGCGCATGTGCAGTTCATGGTTGTACGTGGGCTGGGATACTGCCAAGGCGCCCACACCTAGACAGGAGGACGATTAGGGTTCTCTACCAAAGCCTTTGGCTCAAAAGCCTAACCGCAAGGCAGCGGTGTTCGGCTGGAAATACAAGTGCGTCACCAGTTTTTTACGGAACACGTCGCCATACATGTTCCAACCCCCAACCTGGAGGGCCAGGAGACTGTGTTCGTCGGACCTCTGCCCATGGACCAACCTCGTATTAGAGACTCTGTGAGCATCGTGCGGACACTCCCCAGTATAGCTCAATGGGTCGCCGAGGTACACAGACCACCACACCACGGCAAGGTCCAGTCTCTTCGTGAGTAAACCAACCTGGAGGGCGTCATAAGTTTAAATTGCGTGCCAAAATAGTTTGGGCACTAAAAGGGCATGGAGGTATAAGTTCAATTAGATGATTCTGGTAATA